CGTTTGACTTACCTTCGTCGCAAGGCTGTATGATGTTCATTTACTTCATGTTTTGAGTTTTCACTTAATTTGGTTTTGCGGCTGCAGCAAGTCTCGTTTGACCTACCTTCGTCGCAAGGCAGTATGACGCTCACTTACTTCATGTTCTGAGTTTTCTTTTAATTTGGTTTGCGATGGTTTTAGGGTGAAGCTCATGGGGTTGGAATGATACGAGAGACCCAGTGAAGAGCAAACTAGAGTTGTATCCATTGGGTGTGTGGTGGGAAACCCGTCTAGGCAACAAAGGCTCTTTACAGTCTTTTGGTCAGCATTGATGTGTGGGTCACCCTAAGGCTTATTCATCTGTCTCACCTTTTTGCCATATCTTTTCGAGTATAATCTTTGCAGTAGATATGTACTGTGTAGTTTTCTGTTGGATGCCTTTACCCTTCATTCTAGTCGGGTTGCGTTCTCGTCTATCGCTTGTAATAGTATTGAGTTTTCATGTAAGATGGAGATTCACAGTTGCTCGATATCATTAAGCGCTGGGGTATGTTTGCAATGATTTAGGGTTATACTCACAGGGTTGGATGATATGAGAGACCCGGTGAAGAGCAAACTAGAGTTGTATCCATTGGGTGCGTGGTGGGAAACCCGTCTACTAGGCAACAAAGGCTCTCTACAGCGTTTTGGATAGTGAGGTTGAGAGAGTAACCCTAAGGTCCAGTCCTCCCTCCCAGCTCTGATATTTTGTAGGTTTTCGGTATCTGGATTGTTATAAAGCCCTGAAGCCCGATGGGTGGCGGCGCCATCAGCGGGAGTGGGAGACTCGCTTGTGGCGGTGGGAACGTTTCCCGGGTGCGAAGGGTAAAATAAGTGTCAGGCATAGCTATACTTTAGCTGGGCTCTGTTACCATCTATCGATCGCTTTTGTATTCAGTTTTCATATATGATTGAGATTTACAGCTTTTCGTTATTCTTAAGTGCAGGGGTATATTTGCAGTAGTTTAGGGGGATACTCACAGGGTAGGGATGATATGAGAGACCTCGTGAAGAGCAAACTAGAGTTGTATCCATTGGGTGCGTGGTGGGAAACCAGTCTAGGCAACAAAGGCTCTTTACAGCGTTTTGGATAGCGAGGTTAAGAGTAACCCTTATGTCTACTCCTCCCTCCCAACTCTTAGTCTTCCTTCTAGTTTGATAGATCTTGGTATTTGGATTGGTTGTCTTTAATCGTTTATTTTCTCTTGATAAATTAGTATATCCAGTTTCAAATTTAGTAAGTACCTTGTTTGAAATTTGGATTCGAATTGTATTGGAGAATTTAATTTGCTTTTGGAAATAATTTTAGGGTTAAACTGTGTAATCTTCGCGAATTGCCTTGTGCCTTTTCGAGATTTGCAGATTATAGCTCGTTGTTCTTTGCCAATAGTGTTTCGATCCTAGAAACATGCTGGCGCTTTCTTGTGATTGGCTGAAGGAGTGGAGTGTAGCTGCCATGATTAGTTCAGTCATCCTTTTTTGTGCTTCATGGCTATTTTGAGGAGTTCTTCTTCCTTTTGAGACTGAGTGGTCTTGGGACGCAAGACCTGGTTTCCAGCAGGCTTTTTTGCAACACCGGGTAGAATTGTGAGGTCCCCGGCCTCGACCACTCTTGTTTTGAAATATAAAGCGACAACTTCTAAAAAAAAAAAAAAAAAAAAAAAAAAAAAAAAACGGGGTCTGTCCGCCTCAATGATAGTATCACAGTCACCATTTTTTTTTTTTTTTTTTTTTTTTGAGAAGTTGCCACTTTATATTCCAAACAAAGAGTGGCTGAGTATGTCGCACAGTAGCGAACATAGATAGCAAAACGAAGAGCCAACTCAATCAGTACGTACTCAGAACATTCACATCAGCAGCAATCAGAGGCACAAAGAGGAGAGGGAGGAGAGGGAGGAGGA